ATACAAGTCAGTCCATTTACCAGTTATTGTACTGCAATTTGATGTGGTTGTAAGCTCATTGGGCCTCATGCAAGAACATGTTCGTATTCTTATCCTAAATTTCTCTTACTTTTGTTCGTACAAATGGTTTGTACGAACATGTCACGTCAGATTCAACAAACTCTTCTATCTTCAAGAAAAGTGTGTAAATGAGCTGCTTTAAAATGTTTTCAAAATAAGTCTGGCACTTTGGAGAAAATCAAGGACTCGCTGGAGGGATTATGTACCCCCTCTGGCCTGGGAACGTCTCGGAGTCCCCCGGGACGAGCTGGAAAGTGTCGCTGGGGAGAGAGAAGTCTGGGTCTCTCTGCTGCTGCCCACCGCGACCCGATCCCGGATAAGCCGGCCAGACGGACAATTTATATTGTTAGTCTAAATTATTACATTTTAAATTATAACTCTAATTCAAGCAGAATAGCCTATTGTCAAGGTAATTATAGAGTGTAATTTATTTTCAACTCAAAATATCTTCAAACTAACGAAATATAAAGTTATGAGGGAGGAAAACCCGTCTGGATAACAGCAGACTGACTTCACGTAAAATATACGACAGGTCTGGACCACTCNGAAATATAAAGTTATGAGGGAGGAAAACCCGTCTGGATAACAGCAGACTGACTGCTCGTAAAATATACGACAGGCCTGGACCACTCGTGAATTTTGTTCATATCTGAAAACAATCTTAGAATACGAAAACATTGGTGAATGCCACAAATTCTCCTAAATCACTCGTACGCACAATTTAAGAACAAATTGTGCTTACGAACGGTTTTTGCATGAGGCCCAATGTTTTAATTTTTTACTACGTTTTACTACTACAACTTTGACTTCAATCATCAAGCTAAGTCCAGGTGGGACCAGACTAATATGGATATTCATCTTAACATAACTCCTTTATAAAGTGTTTTACAGTCGTTCATGTGAGTCGTTTTAAAAACTTTTACATAGCTATCAATTTCAGTTGTATTCCAGCAATAATATTTGATGTTCCTGCCTCAATGTTTCCCAGGCTGCACCTGAAGTGCTACAGCTAGCAGTTGCTGCAATTACAGAATTCCATATAAATCAGCGTGTAATGCAGCAGTTTTCAACTTCTGTTTGGCCCCTCTTTAAAGAAAGAAAATGTCAGTTTCCCAATTCTGTTTTATTCAAACCAAGGTCATATACTGTATTCATTAGAGTCTGCTTCAAAAGGTCTGAACTTTAGTTTTAATGCATAACCTGACAAAACGCAGAGGAAAACCTGTAAGTTTGTGTACTGGAAAGGGTGATTGTCCATGTCAGGATCTGTGGTATTGTTGGTTTTCTTATAGCTTTTTTGGGGGTTTATGTAGGGTCTTTTCCAGTTTCTCTATTCTCCAGTGTTCCTATCACTATTCTGCTCCTGCCCCACACACTGTCAGTTATCTCTGCTCCCAGGTTGTGATGATTCGTTAATGTTCCCTTTTATTCAGTTTCCTTCACTTTGTTCTAAAGTTCTGCATTGTGCCTGCTATAGTTTGTTTATTTAAAAGATTTCCCATTACTCTCCACCGTAGCAGAGATAGTTCTTTTAAGTCCAACAAGTCATTAAAAACACATTAAAACAAAACCACAAATCAAAAACAGCCAGCGCAAAGCACTTTAAAACAAAAAAAGACAAAAAGCACTTAATTAAATATCCTTCACTTGTTCCATTTGCTTGTTTCAAAAAAATATCAAACATTGGAGTTAATAAAATATTTAGAACCCAAAACCACACGTTTTTGTCAGGTTCTCAAAACAACCAAAGGTGAGCAGCTTGGTAACAAACAGACTCAGAGACTCAGTATAAAAAGGAAGTGTATTTTTATTTACAGGTGACAGGTGCTGGTTCAGTGCTGTAAGGGAAAGGGAAGA